AAAAAAAAAAAAAAAAAAAGATGGACTGATAAGCTATTACATGACACACTCTGTACTGGACACCAGGGAAACATTTGTGAACCAAACTGACAGCTTCTGCTCTTTCGTGTGGTTTACCATCCACTGTGAACAGTCAGTCACTGCGACTTCTGTGTAGAGATGGTGAAAGGGAAAAGAACAGCACATAGGCACCCAGAGCAAAACTAATCAGCCCAGCCTGGGTAAATAGGAGGGCAGATGAGGTAATAGGGGGATGCTTCCTAGAGGAAGTGTAGTCTCAGAACGAGACCTAAAAGTGACTATGTGAAGTGCGTGTGTGTGTGTGTGTGTTTAGGAAGGTATCAGATTCTAAGGAGTTTACTAGGACTGGAAGTTAGGATGCAAAACAGAGAAGAGAGTAAGTAGAGACAAGTAAAAGAACAGATCATGTTTATTTAATTTATCCATTGCTATTGTAAAGCTAATGGACAGTATTTTAAACAAATCAAACCTAAATAGACCACTTCATCATTGCCCAGCTAAGCTTGAACATACAATCTTCCTGCCTCAACCTCACAGATTTTTGGGATTAAAGACATGTGCCACCATGCCCAGCTCAGAATGTGTTAATTCCCAACACAGGTACATTATTTTAAAGTGTTCTTTAAGAAGATCAAGACAGTGACACGGTGAAAAATTCAGAGAAAAAAGCTAAGTCTGATCCCTTCATGGTACAACAGGAAGTCCTGATATATAATGAAACAAATTATTTTCATTATTTACAGACATTAAATGTTAGGAAAGGTGCATTTTGCCTGCTCATAATTAAGTTACAGGTAAAGTAACTCACAGTCATGTCTGCTCTACATGAGGGAAAATTAAGCTGCTACAGCAAAGATTACACTGGCATCCCACCTCATACTCAGCAGAGATTACAAAACACTTTAGGCCAATATGCCAACTCATCCTGCCTTCCAAACATGCTGGCTCACATACTTATGAACGGAATGCACATCCAATAGTATCTGTCATCTGCCATCCTCTGAGTCCTTATAAAAAGAAACTCAAGAGTGAGTCAGAAAAAGAACACAGAGTAAAATCACCTTAGGGTACTATAGGTTCACATAAAATGTAAGAAGCTGATCAACAAGAAAGCAAGAGCCCCATAATTGTAATGTCATTTGTTCACCTCATTCCATGTTTTAATCCATATTCAAAACAGCTTAAAGGAGCATTCCACTAACCACTAATCATATTTAGCACATGAAAGGCTGAGACAATGTTCAGAAACTCCTAACCAAGCAAACTGACTGGAAGTAAGCAGTATTTTAAGTTTGTTCCCTGCCTTAGTTGTATGATTGATTAAACTCTGCATTTTTCTGCATTAGGACCTTAATATAATGTGTAAGGCTCTGTATTTGTAATACTGACAGTCTTTTAGAATAGTTTTACTTTATGTAGGTTCTGACTGCGATTTGATCCTACTTGCTCCACGTCTCCCACCCAACCTTCTAAGAGTTAACAGCCAGCACTTTAAGTCAGAGGAGGCCTCTCTTCATTTCACAGCATAAACTGTCTCTCAGTCTGGCAGATGACAGATCAGTTCACAGGTTGGAAGTGTTCATATATATCAAACACACATTTTGAACTTTGACTATTCCAATTATTTTTGTTGTAATTTCCAAACATATTTCTCTCTGGGTCAAAATGAACTAACACTATGAAGTGAATAAAATCATAATTCATTTCTGTAACTAATATGACTGACTTTATTCTGCACAGTCATTAACGGCACTGACCTACATGGTGCTCATTAAAATACCACAAATCAGGGCCCGGGATTTAGTTCAGTGGTTCTGCCACCTGCCTCACAAGCACAAGGCCCTGAGTACGATCCCTGGTACCCACCCCCAAATACCACAATACTGAACAGAATCATATAAGTACTATAAAATTGGAGCATTGGTCTGTATAAGAAAGGGAATTAAGAGAACATGGAGATGACTGTTTCTGACATCACTAAAATCTTAAGGCAAATCATTTCTGTCACATTTAGTATTTATTTTACTGACTCAACTATTATTTTTACTTTAGGATTCCTTTCAAAGCATAATTCTTTCCTTTCAAAATGTGGATGATACATCTTGCTAAACTAAGCCTTCACATTTAAACTTCTAGTGTTATATACAATTTTTAAAAATCAGTTGTTTCTCTTTCCTCTCAATTTTCAGCTTCTTTGCTCTTCTAGAACTCTATATTGTAAATTTGTGAAAGATTTTTTTTTAGTTTCCTCAAATATTTCATTTTTCTAATTTTTCTCTCATAATCTTAGGAGACATTTTTCTATTAACTAAAATACTCTCAACAAAAAAAAGTTTCTAAGTTTAGAAACATATTCAACATAAACACCTACAGTAAAATTTGTATTTATATAATTAAAATCTTAATTTTGATCTAAAACAGATGTTCTTTGCCTTCAGCCTAGACAACAATGGGGTTCAGCCCTGCCACAGGCCTTCATTAGGTGGGTCCCATGTCCGCTTGCCAACCACTGTCTAAGGACTCAGCCAACCATTGTTCTAAAGAGTCAGCAGAATGAAAGCACTCATGATTCAAGTAAACACGAACAAAATATTGATTCCAGCTCCTCTCAGAGATGTCAGATATAATGTATGAATGTTATTGATGAAGGAATATGCATCTTAAGAACTTTTAATTTTTTGCCTTCATACTCAGCGTATTGTAATGCAATACACATTGTCCCACTTTACCTATCTTCTCTCTCTTCACTACATGCTCAACAGAGGGAAACAGAAGAAAGCACTAGGTGCACTGATTAAAAAAGACTTCATTCAGGCCTTCAGGGAGCTTATAATCTTGTAAAATACTCATCAATCTATCATTGTGTTGGGTTTGAACGATGTATGCTAACTAATTCGATCAGTAATGGGGACAAATTACTTCATAAAGGAGGTGACATCTGAACTTCCTTCTAAAAGTTGAGAAGAACATTCTAGATTCAAGGTATAGCATTCCCAGGCAAAAAAGTCTGAAGTATGTTTATTATGACAGGGGTGTTAGTAAAGTTGACAGGAGTATAGAGGATACAGAATAAGGTTCATAGGACAGCCAGTTAGAAATGGAGAATGAGGGAGAACAGAGTCAAAGATAACTGCATTACCTACATTTGACATCTATTTGAATAGTTAAGCCAAGAAATGGAAATAAAAAGCAAAGAATTAGGGCTTTTGGAGGGGTGGATTCAGGGCTATATATACTTAGATGTTGAACACATTAAATTTTGGTCCACAAGTTGACCTGTCTGGTAAAAAGAAGTAAAAGAATGCAATTGGCAATACACTATTTGCAGGAGGAAGGGTGGGTGGGCAATGAAAGAGCCCTGTTTAAAGCAAATTGATTGAAAGGCAGGCATTAAAAAAGTGTAGAAATCAGAGAAAGAGATGGAAAAGGCCAAAAGCAGACCAGGTCAGTACAGACTCCCAAAGGCAGAGGACAAAGAATACTTGCCAAATGCCACTGCCAGGTCAACAAAAGAGAGGGCTATCCTCAGAGATCTTCAAAAACATTAGGCATACTCCTACCTCAGGAATTTTGCACTTACTCTTCTCTCAGCTTAGAACTTCTTCCCCAGATAGTTATATGACTCACACCCCCTCACCTCGTCCAGGCCTCATTTAAAGATCCCTCCCACCACTACCTAAGTTATCAAGCCTCTTTACTTCAAATTTTCCTGTCCCTCTATTTAATTTTTTTCCTTGTACTTGCTGGTAAACACACACACAGACACACACACAAACACACTATTTTACATCTGTGTCTTGCTTGAGAAAATGAACTTCAAAAAAGCAGAAAAGTATGTTTTATTCATTGCAGTACCTCTAGCACACTGAAATGTGCTTAAGAATAAGAGAATAAGAGGCACTTAAGTATATCTTGGAATAACTACAGGAATGAAGACTGCAGAAAATCCCTAGGACTGCATGAAATATAGTCATAATCCTTCAGAAATTCATGAATATAGTCCTAAACTCAAGGTACTATGCAGTGAGAGGTCGCAAAGATGTAGGAAAGGTCACTAAACAGAAAGGAAGCCATTTGAGATATTTTAAATAGGAAGAATGACAAATGATGATATTTAAGTTCCAAGATAGAAGTGGCTTTTTGTTCCTGTTTTGAGGGTCAGCTCTATACTTAGTGGAAAGTAAGGGATGGATGACAGATCCCAGAAAATGAATAAAAAGTGATGAGGAAGAAGGTTGATGAGTAGAGACATTTCTTCTCCTGCGGTAAAGTAAGGACAGTGGGTAAACCCTGGACAATGACCTCAGGAACGTAAGAGAAAAGGTAAAGGAGTAGAAGGTGGGCCTCAAAGGTTAGGGCTCCCAAAATAAAGTAGATTTGGAAGAGTATTCCTGGGAAATGCAAGCCCAAGTCACCGAAAGGCCAAAACCAGTTGAGTATGCTTACTACACCACTCACTACTCTGATTTCTACTTCAGAGACATTTCCTCAGTCTTCACTGAGTCTCTCCCTTCTACCTGCACTGTGGTAGCAGCATCTGGCCTGCTTCCTTCACTACCCATACCTGAAAGGAGGAAAGAGTGTATTTCCCAAAGTGAATTCCCCAACCAGACACCAGCTCACAACTCTTGTTGTTTCCTCAGGAATCTTCATTGCTCATTTTCCTCCCTGCAAGCCTCTACCACATAAAAAGTATGTGGGTAGAGACAGCCCTTTCCTTTCTCTTCACCATAAACTTCTTTAAAAAGGAGTTACTAACCCCCACCAACTTTTTTTTTTCTTTCTTCCC